AAAACATGCAACTAAATATAACAAAGAAATGTAAAGGAGGCGAACCTAATGGTTTAAATATAGTCGACCCCGAATTATGTATTTAATCCCTTGGTTATTCTGGCATAATTTATAGTACCATCGCCTTGGCCTAGAAACTAAATTTAACCCCGAAAGAATTTCGTTTCTTCAATGGACTAAAATAGAATGTAATGCACTACGGGTTAATAATTATGACCCCACATTAAGTTTAATAATAGTATTTGAGGTCAAAAAGGAAGAGCAGGAATATTTGATTAGAAAAGGACCACATCTAAAATAGCGCTTTTTATTGCTATAGATTGAATACTAGAATACTAAGAGAAACAAGCCATTACATAAATAGGCAAAATGACCGAATATCAATATTTTATTTCGTTTGACCTTGTTTTCGCAACTTGCTCATATTGGTAGGAAGACTTAAAGGAACACACCTAGTCCGGAGTACATTGTATGCATCATCATTTCCAGAGTAGGACCGTGGACGCAGTACATTTCCAGACATTTCGCCGGCATCGGCAGTGAGTCTTGACATTTTTAGCAACATACTACAACTCGTCAGAGACAAGTTAAGCTGATCATTTGACCAAACGTGTGCTAAAAAGTTGTGATATCTCCTCTTCTGCCCTGGCCTATTCACATTTCCTATATCCTCCTATAATGCCTTCCCTGTCACAACTTTTTACGGTGCTTATTTTTAACGTAGTGTGGTGTGCTCCTTAGAGCGGCATTCATGAAAACCCTTCACACCCTACACTGTCGTTATCACCCCCTTCACCCCTGTGCTGAGAATGTTGACCATAGTCTGTCATATTATTACGTAGTCCTTCCCTGGGTCATATCAGTCACCCTCTTGCCCCGTAGAATCCGTCTGCTACCTCCCTGGAACACTCGACCCCTGCCCCCCATCTGTGCTTCTCGAGGCTAAATTCGTCCATCTCATGCACCTGGGTGATTGATTAGAGGTTAAAGCCTCATACTAAGTATTATGGTCATGCCTTTGCTACATTGACCACGCCTCCTGAAAAACCTACTGTCAGCCAACTAGCTTGAATCACCGCCTAATCCATCCTGCCTCTATTCCTAATACCAAGTATATGACTTGACATGTCCTAGTCGCTTGTGTGCCAACCCACAAATGTTGTGGCCCTGCTGGCTTGGATTAGGTTTAATGTTGAACACAAACGTTTGTGGGTTGGCACACAAGAGACTAGGGCATAGGTCATACATTTGGTATTATAGATAGAAAGAGGATAAAAACAGTGGAAGCTAGACCTAGTTGACTAACAATAGTCGTGATTCAAGGATCACGTTTATGATCAAACGCGTCTATTGTTAGCCGATTGTTCCTTTCTCGTCCCCTTGCGATCTCTTTTCCTCAAATTAAGGATATTACCTTGATCCAGTCGTCTCCTTTTTGCTGATCTTGCTGTTGCATGGTTTTCTCCGAGTTTGTTTAGACAATATGCAAAGTTTTTGCTGATCCTGCCTTCCTCAAGTCTCCTGTTCATTATATCTCTCACGGTCAGTATTCCTATGGCCTCTCAGGTCTTGCGTTTTCTTGCATCTTCACCACATGCAGCAAATTTTTCGGTCGATTTACAGTCGATTTCGTGCCTCGTTCGTGCAATGTGTTCCGAAATTTTAAATATTTTAGTATCCATGTTCCTTAATTCTTAGGCCGATTTTTCTTCCTGTTTCCCCAATATACTTTTGCACACAGTTGCCGCATTTGATGCGATAAACTCCTGAGCAATCAAGTTTGGTAGTCTTCTCGTGCTGCATTGGCAGACCAGTGAAAGGTGTTTTTTTCTCCTTTGTTATCACCCTGATATTCCATTTCCTTAGTAACGGTCGCAATTTTTGGCTCATTTGTGATGAAGGCAGGCAAATCCACTTTGGTTGCATAAGGAGGATATAGGAAATGTGAATAGCCCAGGGCAGAAGGGGAGATACCACAACTGCTTAGCACATGCTTGGTCAAAGGATGGGCTTCACTTGTCTCTTTGACGAGTTGTAATATGGTGTTACGAATGGTGAGACTCATTGACGATGCCGGCGAAACGTCTGGGAATGTACCTCGTCCATGGTCCTACTCTGGAAATGATGATGCATACAATGGACTCCGGACTATGTGCGTTCCTCTAAGTCTTCCTACCAATATGACCGAGTTGCGAAAAAAAGGTCAAACAACCTCTATACAACGAAAGGATACTACGACCACAAAAAAGGCCACACCATCTTGGTCTTCATACCTTCAATATTTTATTTTGTTTATTATTATTATTCTATTATTTTATCCTAAAGGGAAAAAAATGGATGCAAAAATTACTCACAGTTTAATGGACCTCGCGCCACATGCAATGGATGCATGTCCCATGGACTCATCACATCATTCTTCCCAGGAGAAGACTGTGATGAGGGAGAAGATCGTCTTGCTCCAGAATTTGGATGGTAGCCAATTATCGCTGGGCTCGCAGATGCTGTTTGCTGGCATAAAGTGCTAGGCAATAGATCAACATAACTATGGTTAACAGCATGATTCGAGGACGACATTGGTGACGTCAGATTGAGGCTAGAAGTTAATGGAGTGGAATCAAGCCATCGAATGCTGATAGAAAGCCAAGGATCTCTAGTCCATCTATTACATGATGTAGTGATCGGAGGACTAACAGGATGAGATAAAGTGGCTGAGGAATTAGTTCCTTGTCCGTCTGGAATTTTTAATAAATCAGTCATGGGTTCACATGAATCAGATCCAATGTGACTATTTACGTGGACTGAAGAAACGGAAGAGGCAGCATCTGAGCCAATGCAGATAGGT